ATCATACACACAAAGTGTTCGACGATTTGCTTGAATGAGAATAGATCTGTTTCGTTGCCTCTTGCATGATTGTTTTGGTTTCGCTTTCAAATCCTCTTCCAATGATTTTTCTTAAAGGATTCCTTTTTTTGGTTTTTTTGAAAGATTTGTGAGTAGGAATCCAATGGAAACTAGAGAACCAGAGGTTATTAGAGATAAGGAAGCGATGAGAAGATGGTCGAGAAGCGTTCGATCACAAGGGAGGACCATTGGTTTGGTGCCCACAATGGGTTACCTCCACGACGGTCACTTGTCACTCGTCCGTCAATCCCTGAGCCTAGCTGACGTTACCGTCGTCTCAATCTACGTCAACCCAGGACAGTTTTCTCCCACCGAGGACCTCTCTACTTACCCTTCTGATTTCTCCGGCGATCTCGCCAAGCTCGCCGCTCTTTCCCGTGACAATGTCGTCGTATTCAACCCGATGAACCTCTACGACTACGGTGGAGATGATGGCGAGAAGAAGAATAAGACAAATGATAGAGGGAGTGTAGTAAGCTGTGTGGAAGAGGGTGGCTTAGGACACGAGACGTGGGTTAGAGTTGAGAGATTGGAGAAGGGCTTGTGCGGGAAGAACAGGCCTGTGTTTTTCAGAGGAGTCGCCACCATTGTCACCAAGCTTTTCAACATCGTGGAGCCTGACGTTGCTTTCTTTGGAAAAAAAGATTATCAGCAATGGCGAATTATCCAGAGAATGGTGAGAACCCGCAAACTCATGGCTGGTTTTAGGAAAGATTTGAGCAAAAAGTATCTACCATTTACGCAAAAATCCTCTTTAGTCGAATACTTCTGTGAGAGATCTTGACTAATATCAGAGTGATCGTCTCTCTCATTTTTCCTTCCTCCCTTGTTATGTCTATCTTATACAGGTTCGAGATCTTGATTTTGGTATAAAGATAGTAGGATCAGACATAGCTAGAGAAAAGGATGGACTTGCGATGAGCTCTAGAAACGTGCGTCTTTCTGCTGAAGAAAGGCAAATGGTACAGTAACATCCCCCCATGTTTTCAGTTTGTTCAAGCATACAAGATTCGTAATAGCTGTATACTTGCTACATTTTTGCTGCTTTCAGATTGACGTTTCTGTTCTTGTTATGATTTGGCAGGCGTTGTCTATTAGTAGGTCACTGGCAATGGCTAAAGCTTCTGCAGCGGAAGGGCAAACCAATTGTAAAGAGCTTAAGGATATGATCATTCAAGAACTTGTTGGAGCTGCAGGACGAATAGATTATGTCGAGGTATACATTACATCATGTATTTAGATAGCTTCTTTATGTTTCTCTTGAATAATAAAGGAATATACTTTAGCTGAACCAGCCAAAAATGTTGGAATTGGAATGGTATTTAAATCACAGTTTAGATCAATATGTTGCCAGTGGATGCTGATATGAGCAAATGATTGTGTGTACATGCAGACTGTTGACCAGGAAACTCTGGAAGGAGTGGAAGAGATAAAGAGTGGAGTGGTGATTTGTGTAGCTGCGTGGTTTGGAGTGGTCAGGCTCATAGACAACATTGAGATCAATGTCTCCTAACTGTCTGCATCAAGGTTCTTCTTCTCAGGTACGTGGACAAAACTTGGAAGCTCTACGCGTTTACTGGCAAAAGGAAAATGGATGCGACTCAGACGTTAGATCAGAGGGAATTGCTTGTAGGAGACCCACTCGGGCTACGATTACGGTAACATCCGGAATAATCTCTGTCGTATAGAAATTTCGAGATTGAAGCTTTCGATTTTTAGAACATGTTCAGGTTGAGATATGACGAAGGAAGTGAGAGATGATAGAAGAGTGGCAAAAAATGACTATTCAGGCCCCTTTTTTTTTTATGGAGACGTTACCAATTGGCATATGTTAAACGATGTGATGGCTGTTGGATTTTGATCCTTTCGGCAGTTTTGTAGCAATCTGATTAGCAATGGTTGTGATTTGTGTTTTTTTTTAACTTATCATTGTGAACTCATCTAGCTTCAATACTAGGTGGATTTTGTTAATGTAGATGATGTAAGCAACTTTTTCTATGACAACATACCTTATATATACGAACTTGACTTCACATAGTCTTCAGAGAAATAGTTGCATAAAAATTTGGTACATAAGCATAGTTACAACTTACAACACAATTGAGAAGAGTGTGAATTTGGCATGGTTGGTTGGTTATTTTATAATTTATATTGTTGGGGACTTTATTTGGGCTTATTTGGACTACACTCTTTTTATCTCTTCGTTAAGAATTTAAAAAGTTTTTCGTTACACAAGTTCTGCTAATTATAGTAACATCATCACAGATTCACATAAATGCTAAACACACACACCCAAAAATATATAAAATCAATCAACGATAAATTTACAGTCGAGTTTCTTT